CAAATGTCGATTCAAACCATGGATTACAAAAGGAATTATAAAATCTATTTAAGTGAACAATCTTTTCCAAAAACAACTGTTAAGATCTAAAGACCTTATTTATAAAAAAAATTTAAAAGTATTTTTAAAAGATATAAATATATAATAGTTACATTAATTAAACTTAGTAAAAAAAGCCATTTTAAAAATTTTTTCTCAGAAAATGTAAAAAATCTTCACAAACTTTGGAAAGGTATTAAAACTCTAATTAATGTAAAAAATTTGAATAAATCTCCCAACTGTTTGCAAGAAAATGATACATATATAACTGACCCGACTTTAATCTCTGAATCATTTAACACTTTTTTTACAAATGTTGCTCATAAACTCAAATCCAATATTCATTCATCTTACATTAACTATCAAAAATATCTTAAACATCCAAATTTATCATCTCCAACAAATATTTCTGAAATTTCATCTCTTATATCTAAATTGAATCCAAAAACATCATTAAGTCCAAACAGCATTCCCACAAATATTCTAATAGATTTTAACTATGATTTTTCGAATATTCTTTCTAAACTATTTAATACCTCATTTATAAATGGAAAATTTCCTGATATTTTGAAATTATCTTGCGTTATTCCAATATTTAAAAATGGCTCTAAACTTTCATGCACTAACTACAGACCTATTTCTCTTTTATCTAACATTAGTAAGCTTCTTGAGAAACTAATGTATTTTAGAGTGTACTCTTTTCTAAACTTATTTAATTGTTTAAATGATTTTCAATTTGGTTTTTTATCAAAACATTCTACTTGCCATGCATTAATAAGTATAACGGAAAAAATCAGAAAAGCTCTTGATACTGGTTATTTCGTTTGTGGTGTTTTTATCGATTTACAAAAAGCTTTCCATACCGTTGACCATAGTATTTTGATTTCTAAAATAAAACATTATGGAATTTGCGGTATTGTAAATGACTGGTTTCGATCTTATCTTTCAGATCAAAAACAATTTGTAAGTATTAATGGTTTCTAGTTATAAATCAAATTTTGTGTGGTGTTCCTCAAGGTTCTGTTCTAGGTCCTCTTTTGTTTTTAATCTACGTTAACGACCTAATCAACTCGGTTCACTTCTCTTCAGTCCATCTGTTTGCTGATGATACACATCTCTTGCACATAAACAAATTGTATCATTCTTTATGTAAAAATGTTAATTCAGATCTAAAAGGTATAGTTCACTGGTTAAATGCTAACCTAATATGTCTCAACACCAAAAAAACTGAACTAATTTTTTTTATCTCCAAGAAAAAACAATTTCTTTAAAAATGTTGAAATCAAAATCAAAATTAATAATAAACGGCTATATCCTTCAAGAGTTATTAAATATCTTGATGTATTAATTGATTGTAATCTTTCATGGAACTTTCATATTGATGAACTAAACAAGAAACTATCTCGAGCTAACAGTATACTTTCAATAATTTGTCATTATGTTGATAAAGTTACACTTAGGAGTATTTACTATGCATTATTCTCATCTCATCTTAGCTATTGTTGTCAAGTTTAGGGTCAAGTTGGAAACTATCGCATTAATAAGTTGCTATTGTCTTAGCGTCAATCCATCAGATTAATAAACTTCCAACCAATTAAATCAGATACATCAAAGTCCTTCAAAAAACCTTTCATTCCAGCATTTCCAGCGCTAGTAAAGTATGCTAATCTTCTTTTTGTTTTTGACTACTTAAATATAAATATACCATCTCCTATCACAAACTTGTTCACAGAAAGTAGACTATTACATTCCTACTCGACTAGAAATATACACAATGGAAAACTAAATGTACCATCTTTTAAAACCCAGAAGTATCATAAAAGTTCTATTGTTTATCAGTGCGTCTGTGAATGGAACAGGAGCCTTGCATGCATTTTGAATGAGTCCAAAAAAATATATAAAAATATATTCTAAAATACCTTTACTCCATCTTAAACAATATCAATTTTAAAAATTCTGAAAAACTTTTTATTCTAATATTTTGGCATTATTATCCTTATGATTTAAATAATATTTTAATTTTCTTTTTCGTAATTATTACAATTATCATCAGCACTTTTTGTTTATTTTTTTTATTAGTATAACCTGTAAATTGATTGTTTGTTTTGATGTATATTTTATGTGTTTTGATGTATTTTTTATGTGCTACATGTTTGTTTTGATGTATATTTTATGTGCTTTGGTTTGTGTGTTTAGGGTCCATGTGTTTTAGTGTGTGTCTTTGCTTATTATTACTTATATTATATTAAAAATTGGTGTCACTCCTTTGATCAGATTTCTGTATGAGTGACACCATCCTAATAAATCATTAACTTATTATTATATTAATATTAGTTATTATCATTATTTTTTCAATGTAGTTTTTGTAAACAAACTTATTATTACTATTACTATAATTTGTATAGTTATTTTTTTAATCTTACGTTATTTTTATATATTTTTGCTATTATTACTATTATTATTATTATTATCATTATTATCAAAACTATTGTAAAATAATTTACAGAAAATAAATAGCTTGTTGTTGTTGTTGTTGTTGATTCATTGTTTAAAAAATGGTAAATGGCACAGATGAATGGTCAAAAATGCCAAATTCAATTTATCAAATATAAAGTCACATTGAGGGGAAAAACATGTTCAGAAATTCAAAACCAGTATCCTGCTACTTCAAGCCTGCACAGTCTACATCTAAAAACCAAGGAGTTCTTATAGCTGATAAAGCATTGTTTAGGCATACTTAAAAAAGAAATATCTGGAAATTACCTTTTTGTTTGATGAAGGCCTAAATGATTCTTTTTAAAATCTAAGTATTCAATTTTGCAACATTTTTGGATCTAAATCATATTGAATACAAATACTCAATTTTTTGGCTACCTTCATGCAAAAAATTATATAAAAGTATGACCACATCTTTGGCAATGATTGACAAAATTGTGTACAGATTGCCTAAAATAAACTGGTTATATCTTGATCTTATTAAAAAGCAGCCTGAGCAACTAGAGCTACCAAAAGTTTTTAAAATTAGGAGTTGTAACCGCCATGTAATCGATGGTGCTTTTAAAACTGGTTTTCAATCAAAGAAGTTAATGAAAGCTTCATTCTACCATTTCCATGGTTCTCCTGTCAGAATATCTGATTATGTAACTTTCACTGAACTTTTTAGTTACATCGTTAGTTTGTTGCAGAAAATTTTAGTGAGATATCAGACAAACACCTCAACGATTTCATCTCTTTAAAGATTTGTTTTCAACTGATTAAAGCTTAGTGAGTTTAATAATTAGACAAGATGTTTTATGCGCTATCATCGATAGGATCAATCGTAATATGCTTAGTGAAAACATGAAAAAAAAATCACTTGTTTTTGTGAAAAAAGACAAATGAATATCGAAGATCTCATGATATCTAACGAATTGAAGGTCCAACAAGTAAAAATCAACAATGAAAGACTGTAACGTCTTGTTTAAATATTAATAACATCTAGAGGAAAATAGAAAATTGCAAACAAAAAGAATTGAAAGTAATATGATAATGTTATTGAATCAAGCAGTATTAGGACTTAAGAAGCAGGAAAAGGTGTATTGAGTGAAGTATGAAGTATAGAATAATTATTGCTTTTCTAGTTATTTAATATATTTTGTTGTTTATTCTTTTGAGCTTTTTAATATTTTGACATTATTTATGTTTAGTATTAGTTTTTATACTTGTTTCAAGACTAATTTTTTTTATCAAGCAAATTATTGGTTTTCCATTTCGAACAAAAATATAACATTTTTTATATATAGGAAGCAGGATATCTGTTTTTATTGGGAAGGTGGGGGTGGGGGTAAAAATAGCTTTTCTGGGGGTTAAATTTATAAACAAAGAAAATACATAATTTTACGGTACTAATAGTTTCATGCCTAAGTCAATCATCAGCCATATAATACAAAACAAACAAACAAACAAAAAGTGTTAAAGTATAAAGTTATAGTGGAGTGTGCAAAACCGTTGTCAAAATAAATCAAAAAGATAAGATAAAAAAATCTGAAAAAATGGCTGCCTAATCACTCGTATTGATACACTATGTTATTTACAAGACACGGTTGATTTAAAGGACACATGCTTTTAATAATACAATTGTGTGGTTAAAGTTTATATGTAATTTAAGTAATAGTTATTTTGAAACTGTTTCTAGGATTATGTTGATGTTTTTTTGTTTCTAGGATTATGTTGATGTTTTTTTGTTTCTAGGATTATGTTGACGTTTTTTTGTTTCTGGGATTATGTTGACGTTTTTTTTGTTTCTAGGATTATGTTGATGTTTTTTTGTTTCTAGGATTATGTTGATGTTTTTTTGTTTCTAGGATTATGTTGACGTTTTTTTGTTTCTAGGATTATGTTGACGTTTTTTTGTTTCTAGGATTATGTTGACGTTTTTTTGTTTCTAGGATTATGTTGACGCTTTTGAGAAACTACTAAAGTTAGGTTTAAAAGAAAAGCAATCTAGAGAAATAATTCATGTACTGCTTGACTGCTGTTTGCAGGTATTTTTTATATTTTTTATTTTATTAAGATAAGCCTATTAATCTATAATTTTTTTGAAATATATCTGCATTATTATAAATAAATTTAAAAATCAAATTTTTAGAGCAAAGTATACAATCCATTTTTTGCCCATCTTGCAGATAAACTGTGTCAATTTTCTCACAGTCATCAGGTTTTATTCTGTTTCAATTTTTACTTAATATTTTTAAAAATTACATTACAAATTTAAAAAATTTATATATATTTTTTTCGGTATTAGTTGCCTGGGTAACGTAATAAATTTTTTTACAAATATTTTGTTGTTATGGTGTTTACAAAAAACATTGTTTTAATTTTTTTTTAAACAATTTATTAATTTATATTAAAACTTTTTTTTTTCGAAATAAATCTTATATTATTCTTAAATTTTCTCCCTCTTAGTCACTTTATTTAACCTTTAATTTTGTTCCAAAAAATTATTTCTAGGTAACCCTACAGTATTCAATATGGGATCGATTTAAAGTTATTCCATCCTTACCTAAACAAAATCTAAGCAACCTTGTTCAGCTGTTGGCTCATCTCCTTGCATCAAAATCATTATCGTTAGCTGTACTGAAGGTGTTTTATTATTTGTAATGTTTTTACGTTTTTTGGATTCTGAAACCGTTTCATTGTATTCTCTTGTCAAAATGCCTAATAATTTCGGATTAAAAAAAATAACAGAAATGTCTGTAAACCTAATATCTGAACAATATTAAAAATATTATGTTTGGCATTCTTAAAAGAGATAAAATATAAAATAAATGACATATAACTTTGTACAAATAAGGATTTATAAGACATTTTGACTTGGGTTGCCTGAGCAAGCATTGATATTTTGTTACTACAGCTACATTATAACTTAAAGTTTTGAATTATAAAAAATATTTTTCAGGTTGTGAACTTTGGTACATTAGATAAATATTCTATATCATTTTTTATTGATCTCTTTAAAAATATTCTACTGAGATATCCTGAAAACGTCTCAAAGTAAGCACGAAAGAGTTTGTTTTTTTTTTATAAATACATGTTGCCAATTTGTCGCGTTATTTTGACAAGGTTCTAACTTTATATATATATATATATATATATATATATATATATATATATATATATATATATATATATATATATATATATATATATATATATATATATATATATATATATATATATATATATATATTAGAGGAGTAGCAAATAATTTTTTTTTTTTTTTTTTGTCTAATATAAAATATTTATTATGTTTATTTTGTGTTTATTTATTTTTATACATCATCTAAAAAAGAATACATAAACAAATAAAAAAAATAATATAAATAATTTTAATTAAACATCAAAAAAAATTAAAAGTATTTTTTAAATTTACTATATAAAAATTTTCAGTTAGAACCTTGTCAAACCAACGGGACAAATTTACTTAAAACCTATAATAATGTAACTTATAATCTCACTGTAAAAATCTGTTACTTTTATATATACATATACATAAACCTATAATAATGTAACTTATTATCTCACTGTAAAAATCTGTTACTTTTATATATACATATTTATTATATATATTAACTTATTTTTTAAATTGGTACTTATTTACAGGTTTATATTTCAACGAGTAGCGAACAACGAAAAACTATCCTTGTTACGAGAAGGTTTAAAGGTGTTCTTAAGACATTTTCTCGTATCTTCTGAATCGGAACAGCTTAACATTAGCTCCACTAACAAAATGTTAGATTTAATAGAAATTTGCGAGGCAGCTTTAGACGGTCGCGAAGTTGAGCACCTATAAGTCAAAATAATGTTGCCATTCTTTTTCTTCCATTCGGTTCCTCTAAATACTTGAAATTAAAACATAAATTATTACATATAGAATATTAGTTTGCTCAGTTATCAAAAGTTTTTGTTCACTCGACCAACTAGTGTTGTTTATTAACTAAACCATCTGTTGTGAGTTGCCAACCAAAGTAAGTAATTGCGATATTTTGAAATAAATGAAGTCTTATTATTTTACTCTACTTAAATAAAAAGATTATGTCTTATAGTTTAAATTTTTACGATTAGAACTAATATTTTGTTTTGATATATCATGATCTGAAAGTTCGTTGTATATACTAAAATTCTTCTAGAGGATTTAAACTCTTAAATGTCCTATAGGATTTAACAAAGCCGACTAAAGATACATAAAGTGCAATATAAAATAAAATAAAACTTAAAATATATAATAATTAATATTTATAGTAAAATAACTAAAAAGATCGAATCCATAATTGAAACGTTACAGTTATTTAGGATGGTTCTAAAGAGAAAGGTAAGTGAACATTTGATAATTTCTAGCATTAATCAAGCAATCTAAATTTTCGCCATGTTAACATATTTAAATGTTTGCAATTATAGCCCTGATTTTTACTGGTCCTTGCTAGCGCCTCGGTACCTAGTGGCACGTACAACGTCATTTGTTATGATTTATAATATTGAGTATTATAAATTTTCAATATTATAGTATCACAAAGTTCATATACTTTTAATATTAAATCAATTTTGTATTGTAAACGCACGGCGTTAATTTTTGTTCAAAATCTCCCAATTGCCAGAATTTTCAGCGCGTGTTTTTACACTTACAGTTATAGTAAGTGGAAAATATAACAATAAAGTTTTAATAAACCAATCAATATCAAATGTTTTTGCGTCAATAAAATCTGCTCTGTTATCAAAAGTTTTTGTTCCCTCGAACAACTAGTGTTGATTATTAACTACACCGTCTGTTGTGAGTTGCCAACCAAAATAAGTAACTGCGATGTTTTAAAATAAATAAAGTCTTATTATTTTATTCTACTTAAATAAATAAAAATTATGTCTAATTTAAATTTTTACGATAATGTACTATATACATCTACATCTTAATTTATTTAAAGAAAATAAAAAGCGTAGCATTAAGAAAGGTGTCATTTTATTGATATTTTTATAACGTAATATTTATAAAAACAAATAGAAATAAATTATTTTAAAAATGCCATCTTTTTTATGAAGGTTATATTAAATATCTTGAAATGATATAAATAAAATCCAAGTTAAAAAAACTCTGTTGCTCGCGCAACGGTACCGTCGCTTTAATAAATTTTTCTTAAAGTCACGGTAGTGACTTCTGATTGGTTGATTTTTTTTTTCTTTTATTTAAAGAATGCATGTTCAAACCAAAACCCTTTACTGATGTATTTACACTCACTGTGCCTATCCCTAAATCAGTGGATGTATATACACTCACTGCGCCTATCCCTATATCAGTCGATGTTTGTAAATAATAAACATCAATGAAACTTTCAATATACAACAATAATAATAACTTTCATATAAAAAAAATTGTTAAAAAATATTTTTCTGGATGTAGGACTCTCGGATCACCGTGATCATCTCGGATCAACCTTCAATGCAGGTTCTTTATTGGACTTGGGTGAAAAAAGTAAACAATAATATTTTAAGAAATATGTTTGATAATATTGTACCATGTTTCTTTAACATATAAAGTGATAAATATCAGATATCATCATAAAAGTATTACATAATGACTTTCTGCACATTTTGTTTTTCTCAATTTCAAAAATAATGAAACAAAAAAATACCCATTGCATACAGCAATCGAGAGGTATATTCAATCCACCGCGGTCTATAGTTTTTGTATATCTCCGTATAACTGAAATTAAAATGCAGAATCATTAAACAAATCATTTTCACTAACATCATCTTTACTTGTAGCAACATAAAACAAAGCCATTTTTGTACTCATTGGCAAAGATGATTCTAGTTCAAGTAATTGAATAATGATGTCACAAGATTCTTCACTTATAAAATAGCCACATTTTTGACAAGAATGCTCGATATCAATAGCATAATTTGTAGCATCAACTTTTAATTGCAATAACAGTTTAGCTTTTTCGATGTTTAACTTTTCAACAACATTTTGAACTGTTATAAAGTATGTTCCACCTGAATCTTGCCTAAACTTACTAAATGCTTTTTCAATGTAATCTGTTGAAAACTCTCCTAACATAACATAATCAAAATTGTTTTTTAGCAAATATTTACACATCTTGACGACTCCATAACATGTATGCCAAATTGAAGTACCTTTATCTTTAGTTAAAGTTTTCGTTTTATGACCTTGTTCACCACTTATTTTAAATGCCATATCTCCAAAATCAAGTAAGTACTGCAAATTTATGTCTAATTCTTCAGAAATAACTCTCTTACGAGAATCTGAAAATTTCATATCGCCATAAATTTCTTTTACACTTACAATTTTCCAAAATTTAGTAACTTTTTCTAAAAAAACAAATGGTTTCATTCATAACGCAAGGGTGGATAACTTTTGAATAAGTTTTAAGAGTAGCTATAGTTTTATCGCAAAATACTCTTAAACAATGTGATACTTTTTGTCTTTCAATGGGTTTTGGATGTATAGCTACAAAATTTAGTCTTGATAACTTAATTAGCTGATCTTTCTCAAAATCTAATATATGTTTAAGGTCACTCCACTTGGCAGTCAAATTTTGGTCTTTTTCAAATTGTAATTCCTGCATTTTTTCTGTAATCCAGTTATTCCTAATATTTTTTAGTTGATGAACATAATCAAAAAGGAGAAAAATTCTACATTTTGTTAACCATGGTTTTCCTTCAACTCTCTCAAATAATTTAAAAAAGTTTGATTTGTTCGATTGCCATCACAAATAACTGAAATTATTTTTCCATTGCTAGAATTAATTAAATTAATGACATAACATACTTGCTCAAACAAAAAAGAAGCATCCAAATGATAAACAGGTATCATTTTGCATAAAAAAGATGGTCCACCTTTTAAACATTTAACCATAATACTTAAAACACTATTTGCTAACAACTCTGGATTATTTTTCGCTTTTGATAAAGAAGAAAAGACTTTACATCCACCAAAAGTATACAATTTCAATGATTTTCCTCTAAATTTGAAAAAATGGTACTAATAAAGTCAATATCTGAAACTTTTTTTATCATAGATGTAATTTTTGTTAATGTTTTTACACTTGGCAATTTAAAATCTTTTTGTACCTGATTGTATAAGCATTGAGACGTTGAAAATTAACAATAGGATCTGATTATAGTTTCTACATTATAATTTTTTTTACCTACTTCTGATATATTCATAGATGTAATAAGATCTTGTAATACTAACTTTTGATGATCAATTTCAATGTTATTCAAAAAGCTAACAAGTAGCGAATTGTTTCTTCAACTCTTGACCAGCGATCAAGATATGCTATACGATTTTTTGATAGTGAAGAAATAAAACAACGAACACCAGCATGAAAACTTTCAAATTTAAAATTGCTTGAGATATGAACGGCAAACATAGGTATACAGTTAACATAAAAGAAATTTGATTGGATGTGCTAAACATCATTTATAACAAAAGTTGTTACAGGACAAATAAATTTACGATTTTTAATATCTTCACATATAATAATGAATGTACACAAATCGTTTTTAAAATAGTGCGACAACTCATCACACTTTTCAGTTCTGATAGAAGACAATACTTTAGTAGCGAACCTTGGTTTTAAAGGTTGAGTTGGTACAACACTAGCTGAAATGTTTGGAAAAATTGAAGGAGGTTCAATTGGTCTAACTTTCCCATTGACAACAGTTGTTAAAAAATTTTCTGGAAAATGAAAAATTTCCTCTACATTCAGGAACACAGCACTTTTTAACCATTTATTGTAACAATCAATTACTCACAAATCGAACTTAAAAAAAACTAAAATATATCTTTCCGTAAGATTGTCCGCCCCCAGTCAAAAATACGGATTCGCGACAAGAAGGCCTGTAATAAGTATCGCCATAAAGTAAACCAATAAAACTTTGCTACCGTGAATTTAAGATAAAAAATTAAAGTAACGGTACCGTTGCGCTAGACACAACGTTAAAAAAATATTAATTAATTAGAACAAATATAATTTCTGAAATTGAGATATAATCAAAATGCAAAAGGATTTTTAGAAACAAATCAAATTTAGAAATAAATAAAAAAATTGTTGCTTGTACATTCTTTTTGATATTTGCCAGCACAATTTTTTTAATAAAAAGCCATAAAACTAAGCAGCGTTGCAAATCATTAGATCTGTGATACCTATTTTGAAATTCACAATGTTTACTTGGATCATTGGTTTACTTAGATAACCTTAACACAAACATCAAGGTTTTTAATAATCTGAAACCTTGTATCGGATTACTATTACCTCATACAAAGTATATCTGATACCTTGTATCAATTTTGAAAAGCAAACTATAAATATTTTTTGTTTTTGAACATAAAACATATAAATGGGTATAAATAAATATAATTTTTTTTATTTTTAAATGGGTATAAATATGTATATATAAAAATTAATGTAAGATTAAAAATATAAATTTTTAATCTTACATTAATTTAAACTAATTACAAATAAAGGTATCGTTAGAAAATAAAGAAAGATAATAAAGAAACGGAAAACTCGTAGAGGACCGTGATGTCTTGTCACCGAGAAACCGCTCAAGCTGACTGAACTGATTTTGCTGATTTGATATAGAGCTTTAATGTTTTCTTCTTGTTGTTGTTTTTTTTGTTTTTTTTATATATCAACCGGTTTTATTGGTAATCCTTCGTTAAACTGGTATAGCTGATAAATTTTCTTGGTTTAGAAGGTTCACGAAATTTACGTTGATTGTAGCAATCAATTAAATAATTTTCCCAAACAGAGTTTTTTTTTTTTTTTTTATGTAAGCATGGTTATTTATATCTTGGCTATTTAAAATATCATAATCCAATTTTTAAAAATAATACATTTTAATAATAATAATAAATAATTTTAATAATAATAATAAATAATTTTAATAATAAAATAATACATTTTAACATAAATAAATTTGATTTCAATAATTCATTAATAACATTTAGTTCGTTTTAGGAAAACCATTATGCGATAAATAGCTAAAATTAGAATTATTCACACTCCAGAGTAAACTTGGTGTCTCATAAATAATTGTTTTCGTCTGAACTTCTAGTAACGACTTTAGTAGAATCCACGACTTTTAGAAAGTAAGTTGCTGATGAATATACATACAGTCGTGTGCAGTAAAATAGTAGTGCGTATTTTATTTTTCTATCAACAAACTTTGAACATCAAAATATATTTTTTTATTGTTTGTTTTTTATTTTTATTGTTCATAAACTAAATGTTGTGTTTATAATAGTATAAAAAAAAATTAAGAAAGATAATTGCAACAGTGTATGGTTTTAAATTTTAATATTATCGATTGAAGGTCAATCGTATTTTTTTTTAGACTGTGCAACAAAATAGTAGTGAAAATCATTTTTTATGAAAAGGTCAAAAATTAATAAAATTTTATAACAAAAAAAATTTTTTTTTTTGAAGCTCTACATTAGCATTTTGTGGCATGACCTTTATTTGTAATAACCGCCAAGCATCTTCGTTGCATGGAATTAATAAGATTCTGACACCGTTCGACAGATATATTTTGCCATGCTGACTGTACTACGTCCCACAATTGATTACAACCTTCTTGGATTATTTTCAGAAACTGCTTGTTTAACATAGAAACTAAAAATTTTAATTTTGCTTTCATCAGTCCACAAAACATTTTGCAATTTTTTCTTTAGGCCAAGAAGCATGCATACGTGCAAATTTTAAACAATTTTCGATATGTCTTTTACTCAAAAGTGGCACTTTTCTAAATGTTCTTGCATTTAAATCAGCATGTGTTAATCGTCTTCGAATAGTTGAGGTATTAACATTTAATTCTAGCCTTTTTTTAATTTTTCTAGAAGCAATAAATGACTCCTTTTTCGCTAACGATACAATTCGACTATCTTCTATAGCGGTAGTTGATCTTTTATTTCCACGTTTTTCTGGTTTGGGTATCCATTTTAAAGCATTAAAAATCATTGTTGGTAAGCATCTAACCAGTTCTTATATTTGTTTGTACACTGTAAAATAAATCGATTTATTTTATTTTAAATCATAATATTTTAAATTATTTTTATATCATTTTACTTTTTTACATATCCTTTTATACATGGGATATGGGATATTTTTGTTTGTGTATTTTTATAAATAAAGTTTAATAAAAAACTTCTCTGCTGCTAAATTTCTTTAAATAAAAAAATCTAGTAACAAAATAAAAGATACGAATATCCTTCCACAAACCAGACTAAATTCAAACAAACTTTTACATACAGGCTATATCTGGATTTTATAACATCAAACAATACATCCAAAAAGGAGGTCTTCAATTTTGATTTTCCAGGAACATCGAAGTTTAATTCTTTGCTGGAAATTGCATTCATCAGAAAATTTGGCAATATGAGTTCTTTGCCACTAAAATGTACAATTATTTATCATACTCCTAATTTATTAGTCACTCTAATAAACAGAAAAGCCTAAAAAAGTGTCTAATAAACAGCAGGGGCGTGCTGGCTCCAAAAAGCCCATGCGAGATTTTTCTAAAAAGGCTCATATGTGAGATTTCTCCAATTATGCTTTATGAAATTTTTAAAAAAAGGCCTATCGCTATTTTAAATAAATAGCGATAGGTCCAAGCAGGATTCCCGCATAGCCTATGGGGCCAGCACGTCACTTATAAACAGAGGGTCATAACATCCATTAATAAACAGGATTATTAGACAATAAAAGTTACTGCTTAGAGATATTTACTATTATATATACTTATTTTGATATCTTACTATGATCCTTTAAAATCCTTACCTTGAAGTTGAATTTAAAATTGGAAGGTTAAAATCAACTACAGATTACGAGGACTGACTCAAAATTAGCGATCCAGAACAACTTACTTCAGTACATAAACTTTTAAGAATACTTACTTCTTTTTTAAATGTTATTCTTAATTTAATAATGGGAATAAGCTCCTTTAATGTATAGTCATCTATGTCCAGCAAAACTGTACCATCTATATCTTCCTCTAAAATGTATACACAAAAAAAAAGTTTACAAAAATGTAATTATTTAATTATTAATTTGCAATTATAAAAATACTGTATTTAATGAAAGACTGAAATATTTATTATAAAAAAAACCACAAATGCAAGAAATAAAGAACAACTTATTTTTATTGAATATATGGGTATAATATACAAAAACATTCATCATATATTAAAAAATATATTAAATATAATAAATAACAAATGTTTTTTAAAATTCCTTTATTTTATTTTATAATTACTAGTGAGTAATTATAAAGGTGTCATTTCGCCTTACTTCAACTCAAGGAATTTTAAAGTGAGTAAGTTTCAATATATCTAACAATATATCCATATACAAATCTTGTTTGTATTAATACAAACAATTTCCAAGTGTTACAACACTTGACTTTTTAAAGCAACTAGGCATCCCACTGATGTTATATACCCATCAAGTGGTTCAGGAGAAGCTTCACTTCCAACAGGTTGAATGCATAATGTGGAGGATGCAGTTAAGCAATATGAATGACAATAGTGTAAAAACTGTGAGCAGGAGCAAATATTTCCAACAAAATACCACCTTTCAGAGTGTTTAAGCAGATAAGATATGCATAAAAAAATAGGAATTCCATCATCTTTAACCGATAAAACAAGATAGTCCTTAACATAATAAGTTACATGATTAATAGATACACTTGTAGCTTTAAATATTTCACTAATATTATATCCAAAATAATCAAATAGTTCATCTTTAATATTTTTTGGAAGACACAAAATTGATATTGTAACTCCATTCTTCTCATCTTCATTGTTTCGCAGACAATCATAAGAGTTTAATTCTGCACATTGTCTCATTTGATGTCGCTTTGATAATGTAAAAGTAATATTTTTGAAGTTGGAGATAATGTGGCACAACCTTTTAAAATAATTGTGCTTGGATTCAAACCTCATACACCATAAATGTCTTAAAGGGCCAAATAAACACAGCATTCTTGGGTAATGTATAAGATAATGCATTTTTGGAGTCATTTTGTCAGGATATTCAATATTAAACATATACAAGAAATTCCCAATGAGGTATGTTAAATATGTAATTTGATCACATTTAGTTGTAAAAGAAAATAAAATGTCACATATTTGACGAAACAGCAAAAAGACTTCCCAATACGATTGGAAATTATCACCGTGGATAGAAAGATAATCAATAATAATTATTGGAAAATTTCTAAAAAGACACCAATTTTCTGAAGCTTTTCCAGAGAGATGACCATTTGCAGAAATCGAATGGTTACGTTTTTCACATGGGACATTTCTTGAATCATGAAATCCATATGGAAATGTTTTTATTTCATAGTTTAACTGGATTAAATTTATGATCTTATTTTCAATCAGTTTTTGGTTTGTCAATTTCAGAAGTAGCGGAACTATCCCCTCTAGAATGTCATGATGTAAGTCTGGTGGAAAGGATTCAATAACATTAAAGTAAGGCAATCTGTCTAAACTGCATGATTTATTTATTCAAAATATTGCTTTATTTGCAGAATAACTTTTAACTGCTTGCAGATGAGTGTTATAATTAGAAATTCTTCTTAACGAACAAGAATCTTCTGTGTATCTCAAAGATATGGTTTTATGATCAACTAAACAAAATCGACAAATTCTACCAGAACTGAAATAGCATCTAAAACCAGCAAGCGAATGGACCCCTAAATTGTCTGGAGATACTGAGGCAATACAAACATGAAGACTGTGTTTAGTTTCTCCCTGAATAACAGTCACATAAGAACTCATTAAAGATATAAGTTCATCAACGAGCGGTTTTAATACATCATGATAAGATGAAAACTGCAGTATTTTAGACCTAAACAGGATGGCAAGGTGTATTTGAGGTGTTATTGAGGCGATAACGAGGATGTAAATTTCCAATAGTGGAATATACACCACAAAGTTTTTGTTTGCCTTTTTTAGAATCTAAAGGGTTAACAGTTTCAAATTCATCAATAAACAAATGAATACGAATAGCAGTAGGATGTTTTGTAAAAAAAGAATGTCTTTTGTAAATTTCTCCATCACAATAGTCATACATAATACCAGTAGGATTTTTAGTTACGTGACAAAATTCATTAAATATATCTTCTATACCCAAAACTCTTTCCAGATTATCTTTTACACTTATGTAGTGGTATTTATAAGTAATTCCGTCTGAACCTGTAACTTTTTTTTCTTGTGGCTCCACCATTTTTAAATCAGTCTTACAAAAATTAATCAATTGAAACTCATGAATAAAAGAAGAAAATACATCATAGAGATTGTCTAATATATGAACTAAATTGACAGTATCATTTTGTTGAATAAACTGCTTTATCAAACTATTATATGACAAAAAGAAAGCAGTAAACACTTCCCTTATATCACTTGCTAAGTCAACATGAACTTGGCTTGCAACTACATGTTTTTCCCTTAATTTTAGAAACATATGACCTAAAGACTTTTTCAATTGAGACATTATCTGTAAAAAAAGACCTGGAAAATTGGTGTCCTGGATTAAATTTTCTGATAACGGAGCTGATAAATCATCAATTATAACTGATGTGCTAAGTGTTGGTTTTGGGTCATTATCAGTTCCATGCGTTCTCCTCACATGCTGTTGAAAACTGTGAAGCTTTTTAAAACTTTTATTACAAGTTGAATAACAGCAGTTTATCTTTAAATTAAAATCATGCAAATGGTAATTACTGTAATGCCTGTATAGCTTTAAAATATTTAGTACTGGTGTTGAACACATTGAACAGTAGAAAAAAGTTGTCATTTTAGTTAAATTTCAAATGTTTCTAAAAACTACCTTTGAATTTGTCAACACATGATTCTAAGTTACAATTTATTAACCATTGAGTAACATCCAAAGATGACCAAGTTTCAGGTTGTTCCTAAAAAACATTTTTTTTTTAATTTCAAAGTGTTATATAATAATTATAATAATTATTGTAGTGTTTTTTCAGTAAGTATTTTTCTTTTTTTATACAAAATTTACAGTTAAAAAATATAGGTTATGGCATAAATTTTTTACCCAAACTTACTGGCAAAATGTTAACAGCGATTCCAGACATTTTCGTAAAATTTTCAAAACTCATATAGTTTGGTATACGTTTGGTTTTTTGAAAAACCGTTATACTTTGAGCGTTAAGTATAAAACCAAATGGATTTTTAAAAAACCGAAAACTGCGTTATCGTTTTTTGAAAAACCAACGGGTTTTTCAAAAAACCATTATAAAACCGATTCATTTTACAGTGTAGGCTTTACCATGATTTTTAAGATTTATAATTAAATTATGAACTTCTTCAGTATAATGCTTAGAGCGCCCCATGTTACTCTAAATTTTCAAAATTTTAGTAAGTGTATAAATTTATCTAATATTAAAATTAATTACTTATATATTTCTTATTATTAAGAACGAATAATAATTAGAATTTAATAAGTACAGCAAATATTACACAAAAATTAATTTTTCACTACTATTTTATTGCACAGTCTAAAAAAAAATACGAATGTCCTTCAATCGATAATATTGAAATTTAAAACCATGCAGTGCTGCAATTATCTTTCTTTAATTTTTTTTATAATCACAACATTTAGTTTATGAACAATAACGATAAAAAACAAACAATAGAAAATTATATTTTGATGTTCAAAGTTTGTTGATAGAAAAATAAAATGCGCACTACTATTTTACTGCACACGACTGTAGACTACCAGCATATACAAACCCATACCAGTGCATACACACAACATACTAACAGCACATATACGCCCATATATATACACACATACACACATATACGCATATACACATACATACATACATACATACATACATACATACATACATACATACATACATACATACATACATACATACATACATACATACATACATACATACATACATACATACATACATACATACATACATACATACATACATACATACATACATACATACATACATACATACATACATACATACATACATACATACATACATACATACATACATACATACATACATACATACATACATACGTGTATACATATATACACAAATATACATACGCATACACAAAATGCAAACACGTATACATACACAACACACATACATGCATATGTATGTGTACACATGCATATCTATGCATATATGCATACAAATACTTTATACTGTGTTTTTTTTATATATATATATTTCCACAAAGTCGTGTTATAAAAACCGTAATTTTTTTTTTTAAATACTAAATAGAAAATAGAATAAACTTGAAAAATTATACATCTAGCAATATAAAATACAAAGCAATATACAATACGAACTCAAATAATAAATATTTATACATCCATTTATAACTATCAGTATCAGTACAATCTCAATGCAACTAAATACTTTGGTAAACTCAGTTTTAATAAAAGGTAGACAAACCCAAAACACTCTTAGTAATATAGAAAAATGTACTCCATAGAAAGAATTAGATTTTTAAACTTAGTTTTAAAAACAGAAAACGAGGAAAGCAGATCAAAATTTTGTAAAATAATTTTATTCTAAGATTAGGTGCGCGATAATCAATACAAAGCTGATTAAACTTGGTTCGACAAAAAAGTTGATTTAGCAAATTATTATTCTCAGTCCATAATTATTGTCCGGCTTTAATGTAAAAATATTTTAAAAAGCATCAGGAGAAAAATGTTATTTTTCCAGATATATACAAAGTATAGAGTATTATATAAATTTACTTCATAAATATTAAGTATTCTCATTTCGTTAAATAATGGTTTTGAATGAGTAAAACGATCAGAAAAATTAATAATACGAATTGCGTGTTTCTGACGAGAAAAAAGACGTTTCAACTTAATCTTTCCAGCACTTCCCCAAGCAATATTTGCATAATTTATACAATTATGGATAAACGAGTGATAGAGTTGGATCTAATTTATTTTATTTAGATAATCTCTAGATTTATATAAAATTCCAATATTTTTAGAAATCTTGGTACATACGTAATCAATATGCTGTTTCCATGTAATGTGCTCATCAAGGTAGGCTCCTAAAAACTTTATGACAGAGTCCCTCTTAATCTCAATTTGGTTAATAAATATTTTAGGCAGACTTATGGGTAGATAACGTTTTTTTTTGAAGCGGGTGGGAAATGGTTCATTTTGTTTTATTAGTATTAAGAGTTAACTTGTTACACTTGAACCAGCTAGATATTTTTTCAAGTTTGTCATTCATATTACACACCCTAGTGGAAATATTTCTTACGAAAAAAAAGTACACCAGAAACGGATTACATTTTCGAAACCACCGTACCTTGTTCTGTTATGACCTAGATTTTAAAAATATTATGACGAGAGTTATATTTTTGCAATCTTTTCGAATAATTTTTGTGACATTTGGATAGCTTGTAACCGTTTTCCCAGAACTGACTAAAATTTTGATAAACAGATTCAGAGGCTTGTTCGCTCCAATAGCCTAGACATTTGTTTGGATAATCACTCGACATCATTTTTAAAAATTCTACTGTATGTTTTACTAAAGCGTGTACTTTAGGTGATACTCTTAATCCAAGTTTATAGTAAGCTTCTTGATAATCTTTTACTTTTATTTCGTAGTTGGGTTCTAAATTTATCGCTAAACAACTAACTTTAACTTCTCTTAAGCATTTAAATGCCTGTAGTATGAAAGAAAGTTGTTCATCATTATCTAGTGAAAAAAACTTGATAAAATCGTTCAAAATATCTATATTATCAAGAAGTTTTGAACACTGTCCTCCCTTAAATTGCCCACCATGAAGCCTTGGTCTTTTAAACCCCAGTTTTTCATTCCACTCCTCTGCTTTAAAACAAAATTCTTTAGATTTTTTATATGAATCAAGATAATTAAAAAGTTTGTTGGTGTTTCCACTGAGAAGGCGTAGCTCCATCGGAGCAAGAAGTTTTATAACCTTTGTTTCATCTGGTAAATCAATAAGTAGTTGGTCTACACAGTTATGATAGGGTACTGCAGATAACTTTGATTTTTTAATTTTATTTCTGCAAGCATTTTTGTAATTATTAGCTGATGATCTAATCATTCCAAGCGTTCTATGTTCACCTTGAAACTCAAAATTTTTAAAAGTTATTTTTGCTAGCTATACACCAAGGGCAAGGATGAGTTGAGGCTGCAGTTTCTATTCCAAAAAAAATAATGGCCAACTTCATATCGAAAGCACAAAAGTATTTAATACTGTTTAAATTAATAAAATCAATTATTATTTTCATATTTGCGTAAGATTCTTGCAAATTTTCTACAAGTGCAATAATAATGAGTTTGTTAACCCCACTATCTTTGTATTTTTCTTTACATATGTCTTCGTCATAACTAAATTTTTTCACCTTTTCTTTAGATACCTCGCAACGATATAAGATATTTAAATAAATTTTTAAAAATCCAGCTCCTCCATCAATGCTGACTTTTAAAATGTACTCACTTGAAATATTTCTTTTTTTGGCAACATTTTCCACCAGTCCTCGAATATCTTTGCAATAAGCCATCACCTTTTCGCCCTCACCAAATTTAACAGATCTTACGTCAAAGTATTCATTTAAAATGGGGTCTTCTTCAATCAGTTTATTTCTTGTATTTTTTTCAAATGATTTGCAACCTTTCCAACTTCTAAAAATACTTAAAACTTTAGCACCTTGTGTGTTACTGAGACCACATGCATTTTTTAATTTGTTCACTTCACTTGTATGTATCGGTGAATTAGTAAACAAAGCTTTAGAAGAAGTTTTTAGTCTTTGAATACTAATTGAAGTTCTGCATGTTGCAACCTTAATTAAATTGCCTTGTTTATCAAACTTTTGTTTAAGTGTTTTTGAACATTGCAATTCGGCACCTCTATCGTCTAAATAAAAATCTACAATATAAAATTTGTAATTACTTTGGAATTATTATTATAATTTAGTTTTAATAGGAACTTAATAATGAAATTAATATTTTTTTATTTTTAGTTGCTTCATTAGGTTTTCCTTTCGCTTTGTAATACAACATGTGTGGGCTAATCCTGGTCCAATAACATTTAGACATCTTTTACAAACTTTAACTAGTCCAGGAGAGGGTAAAACTTTCATGTTGAGTTTTGGTCTTCCTCTTTTTTCTATATTTGATCCACGTGTTAAATTACACCTAGCAGTAAGGCAAATATCACATTGGCAAAACTGTTGGTTTCTAGTTAGAATCGTTTCTTTGATCTTAGAGAAATCAAATGGTTTACATAAAACTATATTGGTGTTACCTTTTTCCGTTTTTACTAAATTATTTCAACATCTTCCACAAATTCCATTCGGAAAACGGTTATCATTTAAATTAATATTGTCAATGAAATGTTTTTTAATTCTCAATAAAACCACACTTCCTTCTTGTATTTTACTTAAATTTTTTCCTTTTTCAAAGCAAATTAAACAAACTTTACTCCTACTTTGACTTTGACTTGCCTTGAATATGGCATTTCAAAGGTGAAATAATAATTAATATTTAAATTTTCAAAGCACAACTAACGATATTAAAAACGTGTAACAAAACACAAATTACAATAATGCATAAAAATCAAAACTCGTTAAAACTAAAAGTGGTTTTTAATTAACCAATTTCAAATATTTTAGCAATAAAGAATGATTTTGAAGGTTATTTAAATTGACGTAATACAAACTAAAACAGTAGTTTGTAAAAGTAAAACTTGTAACATTTTATAAACTCGCTTTGGTAAAACATACAGAAGAATATTTAAAAAATTCTATATATAATTTATTGTGAAAAGTTAGTTTGTAAAATATGAAACAGTTATTATTAACTTGTAATGTTAAATATCACTAAAAACTACAACAAAAAACTAAAATCTTTTTTTTATTTGTGTCCCAGTGATCGGGCCCAATCATATTTAAACTCTAAGAACACGCCCCTAACGTAACGCCCTTAAAACGTTTATGAGTTTTTTTTTCTTTTCATATTTATTAGAATCAAAATTTATCAACAAATTTTAAATATCATTCCAAAAAAATATGCCGTTTAAAAGTTGTGACCTTTTAAAGTTATTTTTTGGAGTTAATTGGGGAATAAAAAACTAAAAACAATAATAACTTTTTAAAGAGAAGAGGTTTTTGTA